TATGGTTTCTTTAGGGTATATTCCCGGTAGAGGAATTGCTGGGTCAAATGGTATCTCTATTTGCAACTTTTTGAGAAAGCGCCATACCGGCTTCCACAGTGGTTGCACCATTTTACACTCCCACTAACAGTGAATAAGGGTTCCAGTTTCTCCGCAACCTCGCCAGCACTTGTTGCCTGCTGTTCTGTTAAATTTTGCTATTCTTACTGGTGTGAAATGGTATCGCGTAGTTGTTTTGGAGATAATTTCTACAATTAGGTTAATATGTCGATGGCTAAAGAAACCTAGCAACCACCATGGGTCCATTACCCTCAATGGTTTTATTTTGTGGTTTTATTTTTTCCTTTTGCACCTCTTGAAAGGGCCCCTGTGGTCCAGTGGATTAAGCATCTGTTTGCCAACCAAAGGGTCTTGGGTTTGAACCCACCAGCCACTCTGTGGAAGAAAGATGTGGCGGTCCTCTTTGATAAAGATTCCCAACTTTGATAAGATTCACGGGCTGTGTGTGAGGCAGCTCTGTTCTGACCGGAGGCACGCTGTCATTTGGACTGGACCCAACGGCTTTGGTTTTTCAAAATACAAAAAAATTGGTTTTTAGAAACTATTCAAAATCAAATTCACTGCTGTCATCAAGTTGGTTCTGACTGCTAGCAAAGCCTCCCATCAGGTTCCTGAGGCTAGAAATTATAATGGGAGGAGACTGTGCCTCTTTCTTCCAGGGAACTGCTGTTGGATTCGAACCACCGGAGACTTACGGTCCCTGAATTAATATCACAGTGTAACTCCCTCCAGATAGTCAGAACCACCTCATAGCTGACCCTCCAGTGGGGCTTTTAGGAGGCTGTAAATCACAGGAGAGTGGACTGCTGGTTGTTCTCCCATGGAGCAGCGGGTGGATTTGAACTGCCAGACACGTGCAGCCTTTGAGGTTAACAGCACAATTCCCTACTGACTATGCCATCAGAGCCCCCTAGTGGGAGAAACACATAATAAAAATTAATGGACGTGAGCTAAAATAATGACTACAACGGTGGGCATCAGGATTGGTGGAAAACTCATCAACAACCTGCGTTATGCAGATGACACAAC